AAAAAGAAAAAGAAAAGAATTTTTTCTTCTTTAATTATTATTATTTTTTATTATTATTATATTTTTTTTTTAACAAAAAATTATAAAAAAAATAAATTAGGATTACTTTTTATATATATATATATATATATAGTATTATTATATTATTTAAATTTTTCAAAAAAAAAAAAAGAAATCTCGAGTTCAATATATCTAATATCCCTTCCGGTATAAGAGAATATCTTTTGGTGGAATAAATATTTGTATCTTATCGAGAAATAAAAAGTTTTTTTATTTGACATTTATATAATATATATAAAAGTATGACAGAAATAACGCCCACAATAACTCCGTCAACGAATTCCAATGATAATAATACAACTACTACAACTATAATTCCACCAAATATTCCTCCGGACAATATTAATAATAGTGAATATCAAAGATCTTATTCATGGAAGTTACCAATGGTTAAAGTAAATAGACCCAAAGAACGAACGAAATCTGAATATCAACGTGAATTTACATGGAAAAATGATCCTCCTTCAACCCCTTCTCCTGCTCCTTCTCCCGCTCCTATACCTCCTTCTCCAATACCACAAGAATTATCTTGTAATACTCCTGAACCAATAAAATCTACAATGATTGCGACTTCAACAGCAACAACCGTTAATAATAATATCGATTTTATAGGATCAAAATTAAATGATTTAAATATTACTACAACAAGTAATACTATTAATAATAATATTAGTATTATTAATAATAATTTTATTCCTGATGATTATGTTTTCAATACTAATAATAATGTTCCTGATAAATGGAGAGATGGTTTAAGAAGTAAAAATTCTCCAGAGGTAAGTTATTCCCTTTTTTGGTTAATTTCTTTTTTTTTTCTACTCCGCCCTAATTATTATATTATTTCCTTTTTTGTGTTGATAAGCAGAAACAATCATTAGCTTCAAATTTAGATCCTAAAACAAAAAAGATGGTAGCTTTAGAAGCTAATCGTCTTTCAAAAAAATCTCGTTCTTATTCAATGTATTCTTTACATGATCAATTAAAAGTACATGAAATTGCTGATGATTTATCAAGTCCATATGATACTGAATATAATAAGGAATTTGTAAATTGGAAAGAATATGGTTCTGTTGTAAGGGAGGATATTAATAAGAAACGTCATTCAAATACTGATAATAATCATACTTTAAAAAGAAGAGGTTCTTGGTCTGCTCCTGCTACTTCTTCTCTTCCTGCTCCTCTTAAATGGATTGAAGATCTCAACTTAGATCTTGGCTCACGTGCTAATACACGTGAGAAATTACAACCTACTATAACTGATTCTAAATCTATAAGGGGTATAACTACTACTATAACCGCTAAATCTCATTCTCGTTTATCTCGTGATAATTACTATGATGAAAAACGTCCAACTACTTCTGCTGAAGTTCGGGATTACCGGTATGAAAGACCTACTACTTCTGCTGATATACGTGATTATTCTCGTCCTATGACTTCTTTAAATGATTATAATGATAAAGATTATTATGATTCAAAACGTAATAGTAATCTTGATTATTATTCTTATTCAAGAAAGGATCGTAATACTTCTCCTTTACGCTCTTCTACAACTCTTGATAATTATAAGGATATAAACGTTACAAGTAAATATTATGATACTCGTGAATATAATAATAATAGTAGTGGTAGAAGAGATTATGATGTTAGGAGGGATTATGATGGTAAGAAGGATTATGATTATTATGATGATCATAAGTATGATGATCGTAGGAGAGAGGATATTTATGATGATCATCATCATAAGCGTGAAAATGGTTACGATGATCGTAGACGTGATTTAGTAAATGATGATCGTAGAAGAGATAATGTTCATGATGATCGACAAAGAGATATTTCTACTTATGATTATGATTATCGTAGACGTGATAATAATAATAATAATAATAATAACAATAATAATAATAATAATAATAATAGTAATTATTATTATGAAGATTATGATTCTAAATATAATAATAATCGAACTGTACACAATTCTGATCATGAACATTTTATTCCTGGCCATTCTAGAAATACTTCTTACGCTTCTTACGCTTCTTCCTCAAATAAAGGTTCTTCCGTTCATGATGAACCTATTAATTACTCTGGACCTCCTCTTAGTTATTTAGATGCTATGCGACATCGTTCAAGTGTTAGTTCTTTAAGTTCAGTATCAACTCCAAGTTCACCTGCAACTCCGATAGGTTATGATTTGAATGATATGCGTTGGAAGAGAAATAATGGTTTAGATCCTCGTATATATAAAGAACAAAATTATTCCCCTTCAGTAATTTCAAAATCTTCTTCAGGTTCAAATCATAAATATTGGCAATTTGAAGATGATAAAGATAAATATTATCAACCAAGTGCTTTAAGTCCTTCAAGAAGCAAATTTTATATAGATGATGAAGAAGAAGATGATGAACATATTGAAGGTTATTCAAGTAAACGTCAATCCCGTGATTATAAACCTTCATCAATGAGATATTCTTCACAATATTCACCAACGAGATCAACGAGTCCTTCACGTGATAGTTATGGAAGTGGTAGGAAATATAAGTCTTCACGTCCTCCTTCACGTGCGACAAGTGTGAGTAGTCATGCTACTTCAATAGAAGAGGAATCTGCAGTACTGACGGATCTTCTCAAAGAAGCTGAAATTATGACACTGAAGAATTTAACAGATCAAATGAGTATATTTAAAACAAGAGATTTGGGTATTGGAACCGGAATTGGTATCAAGGGTGTAAAGGGTGTAAAGAATTCTGGTCGTGCCACTCCTGCTGCTTCTGGTCGTGCTACTCCTTCTGTTTCTGGACGTGCCACTCCTGCTGTTTCCGGACGTGCTACTCCTTCTGTTTCTGGACGTGCCACTCCTGCTGTTTCCGGCCGTGCCACCCCTAGTGTTAATGGTGCAAAGAGATCTTCTCTTGGTGCTCAAAAGAAACCCACGACGACGACAACGGTGACGACAAGAGCAGCAGGTATTAAAACAAAAACAACGCCAACAATAAGAACATCTACAAAACCAGGTGCAACCACCACTACTAGAGGAACCAAAAATAGTTCTACACCTGGAATTCCTCCTAATAAGAAGAAAACTCATCGTCCAGCTTCTTCATTATCTTCAATATCTTCAACTTCTTCATATCGCGAAGCGTATCAGCCTCCACCGCCTCCAACAAATTTTTCTGCTGCAAGAGATGCTTTAAATAGAGCAAGAATGAAGGTTGAAGAAATGTTAGAGATAGTAAGCAATGGTGGTTCTTTGGATTAAGAAAAAAAACAAAAAAAGAAAAAAGAAAAAGATCAATTTCAGATGATATTATCTTTTTTTTTTTGGTGATTAAACAATAAAGACATTTTTTTTTTATTCAGAGGATAACAGACTCTGTATCTACTGTATATTATTTTAAATGGTTTATTTGAGATATTGTCAATTTTTTTTTTCGTCCATAATAATCTCAATAGAGGATTTTAGTTAGACAAGTTAATTATTCTTTACCGGATATCAAATATATCAAAAATATCAGTTATATAAATAGTGTCAGTATTTTTTTCTCTTTCATTATTTAGGAAATTTTTTTTTTTTTTTGATGCATTCAATTAATATTCAAGATAGTCAACAATTAGGAAATCAACTTTTTTTTTTTCATGGGAGCTTCTTTATTTTATTCTGGAAAATTTTAAATGGGCAAATCAAATTAAATAATATAACGAAAACTTATGACTTTTTTTTATTACCTCATTTTTCTACTATAGCATTTTTCACATATTTACCATATATACTATATCTCACCATATTGCATTTGAAAATTTCAATTTATATATAACTCTGCATATAATTTCTTTCTACCTCCTTCTTCGAATTCCTCAATCATTTACATACTTTTATCATTAACTTGCATTATATATATATATAATAATTTCATATTTTCATTACGATTTTACAATTTTTATCTGCATATTATAAGCTTTTTTTCTCATCCCTTTCTTGTAATATATATGTATTTTTTTTTCTTTGGATCCAGATTCTTTGTTTATATTCTTTTTGGATTCAATGAATTTTTAATGAAACAAATCACAATTCAACCATCAATTTTATTTTTTATGATTTAACGAATAACTTTTAACGAAACCATTTTTTTAACGACTAAATATATTTTATAATGATTTTTTTTTAACTCTTGCATGTTTTTTTTCAACACATTTCTTCTCTAGAAAGAAAAAAAATACTGGAATTACTGGAAATTATTATTTTTATCATTAATAATATATTTATTTGTTACCATTCCAAGATTATATTTTTTATTAAAAAATGTTATTTGATATAACTTTTTCCTTAATTTGATTCACGGTTACCATTTGAATCATTCAATTATCAAATTTGTGAAATATTTATAAATTATAGAAAGAAAAAAAGAAAAGAAAAGAAAAGAAAAGAAATTAAACCGGTAAAGAATGATGAGTATATATATATTTATTTATTTATTTAATTGATCTATTGTATACGATAAAATATTTTTCCATATATATTATTTAAAAAAAAAAATAATTTTTTTTTAAAAATAAAAAATTTATTTATTTATTTACTTTTTGAACTTGTAAAAAAAAATTATTGTCGTATCATGTTATCTTAGAAATTTTCGCGCTTATGATCATTCTCGTATGTTTCGTCTTGTCTTGTATGTATGACCATTCTCGTATATCTCGTATGTATATATCCTCATTTGTATTTGATCATTCTGTATATCTCGTATGATATATCTCATTTGTATTGATCATTCTCCTTTCGGGTCACCTATAATT